CTCGCCAAAGAGGGTGATGGAGGAACATGGTAAAAGTTAGATCAGTCCTGGGTGCTTTCCTGCATCATGTTTTCTAAGTAAGGGTCTGCAGGATCTTTACCTGCAAGCAGCCCACACACATTAACACGGTTTCTATCACATTCAAATCACAGTGAGCATGTAATACATGCTCGTACTGTATCAATAATACTGTGAAAAATCAGGGGCTTTAATGGTAAATATGAAGGTAATATAACCAGAACTGGATTACACCTTTTTTTCCATCTGACTCTTGATGTAAGACGGATAAGATAAAATAACTGTGTAACTAATCACTTAGAGCCCATCAGCAATCATCACATCAAACCTAGTAGTGCATCGTGATAATAACTTAACTGGAAAGAACTCCTAAGAGTCCAAAAACACACAGAAATAAACCATTCACAAATTTAACTGCATCCAAAAAATTAAATAAGTCAATAGTGAATCACAACTTTTTTTTAGCATAGACTGACTCAATAACATTGATGTGAGGCAAATATCTAGGACCAGTCTGTGTAACACTGGTAGTTTGAAATAATTCATTCAATATTGTATGCTAGAATGGCAAGGATAAATGTCTTAGATTACTTTCTTATTTGGCATTTATAGGGTTCTAACACTTTAACAAAACAAACTTCATAATCACAAACACCACATTGTATGTACTAAATCTGCTTTGCTAATAATATACTCTATGATTGTTTTTTCTACAACGACAATTCAATATATTGGTACAACAAACTAACTGGGGTTTCATTAGCAGTCAGTGCATAGTCAAGCACATACATTAGCTTGTATGCTGTGTATTATATATCCGAACCAGGCCACGAGATTAACATCAATGCATAGCCGTTAGTAACCATCCTTTTGGGGCTCATTTATATCTCGCCTAATACTTTTAGTTATTGGCCAGGTTTTTCAAAACAATCATAATTAGTATAACATCTACACCAAGCTAAGATAAACTTGTCAAACAATAACTCTTACTATGCTGTGACTGTATTAACTTACCTAAGCTAGCAAGCATATCATGAAGATCCTCTTTATCAATAAAACCATCACGATTTTGGTCAATCATGTTGAATGCTTCCTTGAATTCCTGTGCACAGCAAATAAAATAGTTTTCAATAAGCACATAAGTGTTTTTATATTGTTAAAGTGCTACAATGTAAATAAATTACACATATTAAGAACTCAACATGCAAACATGCAAAAAACACGAGTTTTTAATATATACATTATACACCATGATATTTTGGTATAGCTCTACCTTACTGTCCTTTTCTATTCTGTAGAGCTACATAATATTGTGTATGGGTTGAGATATGTATTGTTTTAAAAAGAACCTATGAGCAGTTAGTTAATAGCTAAATGCTGCACGGATTATGTCCAAACATTTTCTTGTGCACAGAAAACAAGTTAAAAATGTCACTAAAGGACGGAAAGGAATGTTGGAAATTGGAAGTTGTACACAGAGTCAAAGGCACTTCACTCCTTATGTTAACATACTCAATTATCGAAGGTTAGCTATGTAGTAAGTAATGTAAACGCAGTATAACTCGACGGTGGATCAATTGGCCACATTCTAAAGATTGTGTTAGTAGGCTATTATAAAGAATAATTCCTACGAAATTTTAAAATAACACATATTATACCAGTGAAAAAAATACACGGGGGCTCGGGGCGATATAGCCCCCAAAATGCCAAAAAGAGCCCCCGTAAATTTGCATAGAGTTCAATGCAAACCAAATTTAGAGTGCTATATTCATGCACGCGAGCTTGAAAAGTTGAAAAATAAATTTTTCCCCTATATTATACATATGACATATTAACCTGTATTTGTGCCTGGTCAAACATAGCAAAGACATTAGAAGTGGCGCGCTGGGCACGCTTCTTTGTCGTCTTTCCCTTTGTCTTTCTGCTCGACATGGTGACAGTGGTAACGTATATCAGAATCTGAAAAACAAAATACATAACTATTTATAATAATAGGGGTACAGTAGTAACAGTACAGTATAAAATCTGCACCACTTAAGCAACATACAGTGCACTTCCAGACGCACTGTCACTAGTAGGTTGTAGGGTATACTGTAACCTCGTAAGTAATAGTCTTCAAAGTCCAAGGGACTACATCGACGACAGAGAGACAAGTTGTTCAAATAGACAGATCAACACCGTGGATCGCAATAGAAAAAGCAGCAAATTTGCAATTTACTCTTATGTAAGACAGATAAGATCAAATAACTGTGTAACTAATCACTTAGAGCCCATCCGCAATCATCACATCAAACCTAGTAGTGCATCGTGATAATAACAACTGGAAAGAACTCCTAAGAGTCCAAAACACACAGAAATAAACCATTCACAAAATTTAACTGCATTCAAAAAATTAAATAAGTCAATAGTGAATCACAACTTTTTTAGCATAGACTGACTCAATAACATTGATGTGAGGCAAATATCTAGGACCAGTCTGTGTAACACTGGTAGTTTGAAATAATTCATTCAATATTGTATGCTAGAATGGCAAAGATAAATGTCTTAGATTACTTTATTATTTGGCATTTATAGGGTTCTAACACTCTAACAAAACAAACTTCATAATCACAAACACCACATTGTATGTACTAAATCTGCTTTGCTAATAATATACTCTATGATTGTTTTTCTACAACGACAATTCAAATATTGGTAAAACAAACTAACTGGTTTCATTAGCAGTCAGTGCATAGTCAAGCACATACATTAGCTTGTATGCTGTGTATTATATATCCGAACCAGGCCACGAGATTAACATCAATGCATAGCCGTTAATAACCATCCTTTTGGGGCTCATTTATATCTCTCCTAATACTTTTATTTATTGGCCAGGTTTTTCAAAACAATCATAATTAGTATAACATCTACACCAAGCGAAGATAAACTTGTCAAACAATAACTCTTAGTATTCTGTGACTGTATTAACTTACCTAAGCTAGCAAGCATATCATGAAGATCCTCTTTATCAATAAAACCATCACGATTTTGGTCAATCATGTTGAATGCTTCTTGAATTCCTGTGCACAGCAAATAAAATAGTTTTCAATAAGCACATAAGTGTTTTTATATTGTTAAAGTGCTACAATCTAAATAAATTACACATATTAAGAACTCAACATGCAAACATGCAAAAAACACGAGTTTTTAATATATACATGATATTTTGCTATAGCTCTACCTTACTGTCCTTTTCTATTCTGTAGAGCTACATAATATTGTGTATGGGTTGAGATATGTATTGTTATAAAAAGAACGTATGAGCAGTTAGTTAATAGCTGTATGCTGCACGGATTATGTCCAAACATTTTCTTGTGCACAGAAAACAAGTTAAAAATGTCACTAAAGGACGGAAAGGAATGTTGGAAATTGGAAGTTGTACACAGAGTCAAAGGCACTTCACTCCTTAGGCCAAAACAAAATATAGGTGTGGTTACCGTTTCCCGACCGACCCTATTTATTCCCAGCGACCCTAAACATTTTATTGACAATTTTCTTTAAATTAAAAAAAAAAATGAATTGGACAGTTCCTGCTTCAAAAGAAACCAATAGCTTACAACTAGCAACACTTTTTGGTGGAAAAGGGAAAAATTATGTAAAATTTCCTACTGGAAATTTTTGATGGGCATGGAGAATTCCGTCTGTGTGAGTGTGTCCAAAGTAAATGTATTTTGTAGACATACAAGCTCTTACGTAGGGAAGCTTTTATTAGCTACACCCTGTATAAAACGTATATAGTTTTTCCAAACGTTAAAAACAATATGACACGGTTAAACCTGAGTGGTGCGACGAGACTGTACTGCTGTTTGCATGACTAGTAATACGACGTGCTTTGCAGCTACAATGACTTAATTATGAGATGTGTGTTACAACTTGAGACAATTATTATTATTTACTGTATAATTCAACGTGATATATTACCTAAATCTTCTTAATATTATTTTAAAACAGTATACTGATCCTTTGTAATAACTACCAGTGATACTTTACTGTTTACATCCTAACGTGAAATGCGCGGGGATGTGGAGAATTACTCCACAACCTAGCGCACGTGAACAGTGAGCGTGCTGCACGACACGTGCATGTAAATAAACCCTGGCCAACACAATGTAGGGTTCACTACCACTGGCCAAAAGTAAGCTCTACCCACTTCTTATAGATTTTTGCCAACACTGCTACTGGATTCAGAAACCTGTGCGTCCGAACATCCCACGCACGTTTCTTGAATGCCAACTAACGTTGATTGCAGTGGGCGAACGCATTGTTTACATGTATGTCACGGTTTATGACGGATTAGTTTTCAAATAAATACCCCTGGAAGTTAATATGCATGAACAGATTTCTACAGGTAACAGTTTCTCAGTGTTTCAAATTTTCGCGTGATTAAATAACTGTAGGATCAGCGCGGCCTGTTTTATCAAGAAGCTGTAGGCCGGCATCGAAACTGTCGGCGCGGGCCGACGGGCCGACGCGAATTTCGAACACTGCACGCAATAGTATGTAGTATACATACTAGGACCTGTGGATACTTAAGTTGTAATATGAATTGGACAGTTCCTGCTTCAAAAGGCACAATGCACATTCTTCGGACATGGTTCGTAAATAAAATGTTTCAATAAATGCATGCATGGGTGAGGGGATGGAAGGTACCATGGCCACCAGTGTTTTCAATCTAGACCTCGTCCTTGTCCTTGGTACCATGCTTGAGGATACGTGTGAATTCCACGTAGTTGAAGTGGCCTGCCTTGATTGGAGCCTCCCTGAAAATCTCATCCACCTGTAACGAAAGTCCACAAATTGTTAGCAAGTCACCGAATTCCAGAAGTACATGCTCTTTCATTACACATAGTCCCCACAACTGTGGGATATTACTGTACCCCCACGCCACCACGTGCACGCACCAAAATGTAAACAGGAATGATGATATAAATCCAAAACTTGTGTGGTAACCGGAATAACCTTTAATAACTTGTACAGTGTAGTCACAACTTTCACAGAGAGACAAAGCCACGCGCACACGCGCATACTTGCATGTGCTCGCCTCCGCGCCCAGAACCAGAATCCTCCCCTGACTCCTACATCTCTGTCCTATATATTCCCCCCAAAACTCATACATCCTGCACGCAAATGTACCCATTCTCCCAGACCGAGTCCTACCTCCATTTCACAGTGACCCTAGAAACTGCCTAACCTAAAAACACGCTTATCCAATTCCCTGTAACATCAATGCAGCCGCACAATATGCGCGACGCTCCGTCTACACAGAACACCACCAAAACAACCCCAGCCCAGCCTCGCTGACTAATTCATGCAACACCTGCAAAAGACATGTTACATTACACGTGTATAACATTTATAACTGCATAATAACACGTTGCTTTTAGTAACATTATAGCAGCTAGGTTATCAAACAACAGGCTGATACTCGCCTTCTGTAAAATTAATTGAAACATTTGCAGTGGGTCTTCTAAAACAATGTGTAAGCTATGACTAAAGTGTGAGTCATAGAGGCTGGCCCACAACTACTTAAATACCTATTTATCGAGCATAAAAAGGTGATATCTAATATTTATCAATTTAAATGGGGAAAAAATACTATATACACAACTATGCAGTGGAAACATGAGTATACTCACTGGTGGGGGAAAGAGTGTAGGAGCATGAAGAGGAGCCAAGGCAGGATTAATGTAGTACACTAGGTAATGAAATAGTGCAACTATAGCAAAGATAAGATCATGTATTATTATTTAGTGAACATAATCATGGTTTGCATACAAATGGCAGGAAAAATAAGATGTCTATTTTTCTCAAATACCCTAATGTGCTTGTGAATAACAGGCTTATTGTACAAAAAAAGCCTTCAACTTACATCGTCATCTGAAAATCTATCTCCCATGGAAGTTAGAAGCTCTCTCAAGTAATCTTCATTGACAGTTCCTGAAAAATGCAAATTAGCTAAGTATAAAACCTATCACAAACGACACCTAAGCAGAATGCACTGAGAGGCTCACTAGTAAGTAAGTAAGTAAGTAAAAACTTTATTTAACGACGGTAAAACATGTTAGGTACAGACACAATAAAATGGCGCGGACCTATCTTCCACGTGGCCATCTCACAGCAATAGAACAGTTAAATGAGGTACCATTGACTTGGCTCTGCTTTATTGAGCTATGTTGGCCTTAGTTCTACCTAAACAACCTCTGACATGTGGTCTTGCTTTACTGTGGAACTGCAGACATAATATACTAAATATATGATACCTTTGCCATCCTCATCAAAACACGCGAATGCATTTTTGATGACATCTTCTGGGTCAGTCCCGTTCAGGCGCTCGCCAAAGAGTGTGAGGAACATGGTAAAGTTGATAGCTCCTGGTGCTTCCTGCATCATGTTTTCTAAGTAAGGGTCTGCAGGATCTTTACCTGCAAGCAGTCCACACATATTAACATGGTTTCTATCACATTCAAATCACAGTGAGCATGTAGTACATGCACGTACTGTATCAATAATACTGTGACAAATCAGGGGCTTTAATGGTAAATATGAAGGTAATATAACCAGAACTGGATTACACCTTTTTTTCCATCTGACTCTTGACAGTCTGCAGCCCGGATATCCGCGCGAAGCGCGCAAACGCCGCGCCAGCGGCACACTTACACGATTTTGCTGCACCTTCAACATCACCTTACACGGTTTACATATAGAACGCAAGCACCAACTTCGCTGAATTGAGGAGTTCTGGCCATTCGACAATCGGTTTGACTACCCAGGGAGCTCAACATTTCTTAGAAATGCTCCTAATTCGAAGTTCGCTAGTCGGCGCGCTTTGTTTGCTTTAAAAAACGCA